ACACATATAGATATGTATATATATATATACACACACACATACATACATACATACATACATACATACATACATACACACATACATACATACATACACACACACACACCCATACATACATACATACATACATACATACATACATACATACACATATACATAACCAAATATGTATCTAAATATCAAAGCACCCACAAGATGCCCAACCTGCCCAAGCTCTAGGCTTCAAACCTCCCCCTGCAAGCAGCCAGATCTCTGACTCCTTGCAACCTTGCTATCCTCAGGTTCTCCGGCTTCTTCCGCAAAAGTAAACCAGGCACCCCCCCCTTTTATTGTAAACCCAAAACCCTAAACCCCTAAACCCCAAGCATGTCTACATGGTGCTTTGAGGCCTAAAAGACGGATAGCCTCCATTAAGAAGAGAACCCAATACCCCTTAATTACAGGAATATACCTTAAACCAGAATATTCAGGCATATTCCATAATTAAGGGTCCCCTTGTCGTCAGGGCATCAGGACAAGGCTGCAGTTCAGAGTTGGTGAGGTTTTGAGGGCCTAGGGTTTTGAGGGTTTGAGGTTTTGAGGGTTTAGAGTTTAGGGCTTTGAGGGTTTGGGGCTTTAAGCGTTTAGGGTTTTGAGGGTTTAGGGCTTTTGAGGGTTTAGGGCCTTGAGGGTTCAGGTTTTAGGGTGGTATTGACGGGTACTGCTGTTCAGCAGAGTTCTAGGCGCACTATCCACCTACCGACCCGTCGGGTTTTCAGACCGCACATGGTGATAAAGCAACCCCTGAAACGCTGGCTCCGAAGCTTTCTAGCCATAAGCCAAAACCCGGAACCCTAAAGTGAAGTGAACCTCCATACTATAAATACTATAAGGACCTAGATCATGTTGAGAGGGTTGTTTGGGGTATAGTACACCATACAACCATCATGAGAAGCCCTCAGGCACAGTATTCGCAAAGATTTACGTCCCTAGGGAAATCACACCTACAGCCCTCAACCCAGAGAACCCCCCTGAAACACCTGAGACTCACCACGTCTCCAAGGTTGGAGTGTCGGATTCAGGGTTTTACTGGCTCCCTGTTGGGGCTATATATTAACAATGATCGATCGTTGGAGGCCATCTTTTTGCTTGAGATTAAGCAAAGAGGGTTTTGTTGAGGCTCATCGGGGTTTAGGGTTTATAGGGGTTTAGGGGTTAGATTTTAGGGATATCCTTAATGGCATTTTTTATATAAAATTTTAAAATTGTAGCCAACTCTGGCCCAGGGTTTAGGGATTAGAGTTCAGGCTGTAGGCTCCAAGGCATCGGATGACAGAGAAACCTGAATAATTCTGTTGAGGATATAAACCCTGCATTAACTTAAGGACCCTAAACTATGGGAATTATGGTGTATTCCTGATTATGGGTAATGCAGGATTTATATCATCAACCGTTAGACTCGCTGTTCAAACGCCAAAAATGTATTCAGGAAACCTCAGGAAAGAAGTGAGTGACATGTTTTGGCATTTCGGGGTTCCAGCAATGTAGGGGCTTTGCTAGTTGGAAGAGGGTTGTGGGGGTACCGTGTAGTATACTTACAATCAGCAGCCGTTAAAGAACCAGGAAGCTTCGGATCTACATCAGGATCCTTCTCTAAGCCCCAGGAAAAAACGGTTAGTAAGTAGAATCTCTGCACTAAAGCTGTAGGACTCCACTGTCACCTTGTGGTGGTTATAAACTCCTCCGACACCCCAGATGTGGGCACAGAGTGCCCGGGCGAACACGTCCACATCTTGAGCAGAGGCTGTCTCCTGCAAGGGCTGAACAGCAGCAGGGCTTCAGCTTCGATGTCTCGTGTTGCGGAAGTGAACTTTCTTTGGCCAGCGCGTTAGGACAGCTAGTTTCGGATTGACCCATTTGGACAGAGACTTGCAGAATTTGCGCGACATCCGGCGGCAGCAGCACGCCAGCCGAGTCTTCCAAACAAATAGAAGTCAGCGACTCAAAAGCAAACCCCAAACCTAAACCCTGAACCCTAAACCCCAAGCCCTGAACCCTGAACCCTAAATAATTCCTTAACCCGGGGCCCTGGACCCTGAACCCGGATCTGTGGCTGTGAAGATGTGAGTCCGACATGTACGAACCACAACACGGCAACTGAAAGCTGGCAACGGCTTAGGGTTTAGGAGCCCTGGACTGACACCCCGTCCAATTCATCAACCCAGATTTTCACCACCCCAAGTGCCGCAAGCCATGACATAGACACGTTGTTAATTGTCTTTTACACGTACATGTAAACAACAATTAACAGCATACCACAACTCCACAACCCCCACACCCAGAGCACAGGCTGGTCTTTCCGGCTAAGTCTGCTGCTGGGGACGGCGCCGGAGGCTGAAACCTGATTCTGTTACGGGTTTTACCTTGGGATAGTTCTCTACATTGCGGGTCGTTTTGTGATCTGGAAATACCTAGCAGGGAAACGTTCTGAACTGTGCTGTAAGTTCAAGGACTAGGGCTTCGAAAGTTATGCCAAGTCAGCTTTGGTGGCTAAGCCCCACAAGGGGTTGGGGGTTTAGGGTTAAGGGCCTGGTTCATGGGGCCTTGTGCTGTTCTACGGCAAAGACGGCTTAATGCAGGGACCTGAAAGACTAGACGAATCGGGCTTTGAGGGGGGGGGGGGCGGTATATGTATGACGGTGTGTTGGGCTATAGCTGAAAAAAGGGACTCTATTCGGGTATCGCTAGTATGCCCTTACCCTGCGGGTCCATGTGCCCAAATAGTATATATTTTGGCCTTAAAGTTGTCCCTATATAGGTACTTTGGGGCCAAAAGTATATACTTTTTTGGGCACATGGACTTTTGAGGGCTCTACTACTCTACTCAAGGTTTCACGGACCCCTTAGCTTATGCCATCCGAGATGCATGAAGGACGGTAGAGGCGGCCGCTTGACCCGCTTCCGGGGCACAGCCGCCTCCATGGATTTTGCTTTGAGGGCTTGCGGTTTAGGGTTTAGGGCTTAGGGTTTAGGGTTCAGGGCTCAGGAGTTTAGGGTTTAGGGTTCAGGGTTAAGGATTTGGGCTTAGGGTTTAGGGTTCAGGGTTTAGGATTTTGGGGTTTGGGGTTCAGGGTTTAGGGTTTAGGGTTCAGGGTTGTTGGGGAAAAGGGCTCAGGTCTCAAAGATATGACTCGTTCTCAGAAAGCCCCCGATCCTTTTCGCGGTCCACCCCAGAGCCTGATAATTAACGTTCAAGATACTGATGCCGGCACACCACGGGCCTGTGTGGGCGGTGGGTGTGCGAAGAAATCCTACCGGGTTGCCTGCTTGTAGCGCAAATATTGGCCCTAATATAGAAGACGTAAAGATTCGATTCAAGTGGTGCAGGGACTCGTGACTAACCCTAACGACCCGCAGCCCCACTTTAAACGCCCTGTGGACTTCGCAATTGAATCGTAGTAAGATCGGTGATCGGGATGACTGCAAAGAGTTCCGTGGCCCAAGAAACCCTATGGGTCCAAGTACCTAATTGTCATATACTCTCCGAAATAGTAACCTGCATAACTACTATCCTCAACTGCAGTACCTGATTGTTGGGTCCTTTGGACCCTTAGGGAAAGGCTAACCTCTAGCAATGGTAGAATCATCGAAACCCAAACCAGCTCAAGAGTCACCCCTCACGGCTTAGGGTTTAGGGGTGTAGGGTTTAGACAAAGTCAGGGATACCAAATGGACCTACTAGGTCCGAAAAGCCTCCCATGTTTAGTAATCGTATTCCTTGAGGTTTCTGTTGCACTTACCTGGGCCTACAAAAACCTACTGTTTTGTAGGGTCCGCAAAAGCTCCATATTAGGGTTTACATTAAGAACCGACAATCTTGTCGGTTTCTCACGGCCCAGTAGGAATCAGTAGAACCCACAGCGCCTTTTTCGCCGCCGATGTGTCGGGAGTGGTGCCTTGGCCAGGAGTTAGGTTCTGGGATTTAAGTTCTAGGGTTTAGGGTTTAGGGCCTTGAGTTTGGGCTTGGGGTTTGTGTTTTCGGGTTCATAGGGTTTAGGGTTTGGGCTTGGAATTGAGACTTTGACTCTCTGAGTATGCGCCTCTGCTCACTTGCACCTACAGACTAGAAAAGTAGACGCACACACGCGGAGCCTGAGGATGAGCTCGCTCATCGTTGACTTCGGAAGCCCCATTCTTATCATGAGGGTTTAAAGGGTTTAGGGATCATGCACATCCGATGCATCCATGGACTCAACCACCCCCTAATCCGTAAATCCCTAACCTGCATGTTCACACCACGTGACGATCGCCTCGGCGAAGTATGTTCGAAGGTAAGGCCTCTGAACCGGGAAAACCTGTTAACCTGCATCTGGAAACCACAGGAGCAAATGTGATCGAACCGAGCCCGCCGCGACT